CCCTAAAGCTTTCCGTCACAGCTCCCCACGCACCTGAACGCACCTTGCTACAAATACACTCTTTAATTGCTGTTTACAGCGGTCCTGGCACTCAGATGAATGCAGATATTATGGCCATCCAGCTGCCACCGGCACACATACTAGGTACACATACAGACAGCGCCTCTCCCCCCGGCTCCGCCCTCCCCTTCCACGCGTGGGCTCAATCACATGAAGATACCAATTCCCCAAACATGCAGCTTTGCAGGGGTTCCAGCTCACAATACCTCAGCTCCTGGTCCATTCTATCCCAAGGGGGCCTTCCAGGTGGAGGCTGCAGAGACCGCCCAGAGCAGGCCGGATGCACCCGCCCACCTTCCAACCAACTGGACCTGGAATTCCAGGCGCAAGCTCTGGGTACAGTCCAGCCCCTTCCACAGGTCCCATGCTGTCTGCCAACTCTGTTCCAGCCCTTGGGGAATTCTGCTGGGTGAGACCAAAGCTCTGCCCTCTAGACACTAGTTGGATAGGGCCCAGCAGGGCTGCCCCTGCTGCCTGGAAGGTCAGGGACCTCCATGCCCATGGAACTGACAGAATTTGCCTGGCATCGCCAGCTGGGGTTCCCTGGCAAGGCAGGCAGGCACCCGGGCTGGGCCTGGCACCGGCTGGTGCCGGCACCTGGCCAGACCAGTCACTGCCCTGACAAGAGAAAGTTGACCTCTCGGCCACATATGCCACCTGCCGGGCACTGTCCGTGGAGCACTATAGGACCAGCTCTATACAGGGCTGCCCATGCCCACCTGGGATGCCACAGCGCTCTGAGGAGCCATCAAGCCAATTCATTCTCCAGCTGGGGGTCATCAGCTCAGAACTGGGCCTCCCGCCCCCACGTGACCCTTCCCAGCTCCTCTCCCTGCTGTTCTTGGCCTCACTCCCCTGGGGGAACCAGTTATTGACAACAAAAACGGTCCATCAGATTCAATAAGGATTCAAAGTCCCTGAGAGAATAGGGGGTGGGTGGGGAGTGGGATGAGGGGACTCAGGAGGGGGAGGGAACCATATACGGCTCCTCTGCCTGTCCCACACAACATCCTGCAATGCCCAGGCTAGAGGGTATAACAAGGGGACAGACCCCACGGGCACTCCATGTTGCCCTCAATGCCCCTTAAGCCTGAGCCTGAGGTCAGCCAGGAGCAGAACCCAGCTGCCCAGGACCTGTCTTTGCTCACCCGGCACCCACCTATTGCCCTACCTTCCAGCTGTCCCCTTACCTGTCACCTACTGGCCTGTATGTTCCCACCTCAAACCAGCCTGCTCTAACGCCCTCCCCAGTGTGAGGAGGGGCTCTGGGGCTGTCTCCCTGCCCGCTATCCCCCAGCCCTCAAGCGGGCAGCTTGTTGATCAAGCTTCCCTGCAAGGCCACAGAACAGTGTGAACCAGCGCCAAGGAGGGGGCCTGTCTCCACGGTAACACAACAGCTTGGGGGCACTGGCTGCCCTGGCCCATGCCCCATTGAAACCATCCTCGTCCCCTCTGGGTTTTAGACTTGCCCAGCCTCAGGTCCTCCACTGTGTCCTGGCCTGTGGGGAGATCATTTGATCTTCAGCCCGGACTCTGACCCAAGCCCAGGATGCAGGCCAGGGAGGCCCGAGCGTGTGCGGATGGGGCAGGCTTTGGGGAGGTAGGTGGGAGGAGAGAGGTTGTTGGTGAAATAGGTGGACACAGTCAGGCTTCCTTGGATCTTCCCACGCTCCAGCCCTGGCCTCTAACCCAGGTGGTCCTCAGGGCACACCCTTGATCTGCCCTTTCAGCCACACCCCTAACTTCTGCACCTCCTTCACCCGCCATCAGCCTCTTCCCCTAACTTGTGCCCAGTGAGTGGAGGGTTGGCCTGGACAATCTCGTGGATCCTTCGCCTTGAGAGAGGAGGCCTGCTGTGCCAAGGCCCCCTGCCCTGCAGGGAACAGAGCCCACTAACAGGTGGGACAAAAGAAGGCTTCAAGCATTACTGCCCCCAGGGACAAGCTCACAGAGGGCTGGGGGCAGGGCAGGCAGCCTTCAGGACCTAACCTCTGTCCTAGTGGTTCCCTCTCTGGCCTTGCTCACCAGCTCACTGCAAGGTCACCTCTCCCTCCCTCTCTCTTTTCCTGCCGCTGTCCTGCCTGCCCACTGCAACGCTGACCCCTGCAGGCCTGCTGGGGCCCGCCTGGTCTGGGGACAAGCAGTCCGAGAGACACAGGGACTTCAGGATGAACGAGAGGGTGAAGGCCGAGGGCAGAGAGAGGCCCTGAAGTCTAGGAGGGGGCAGAAGGGAGGCTGCAGGGATGGCCTAGGGAAGCTGGGCAGAGCGTGGAGCTGGAGCCTGGGTGTGCATGGGAGGGGGCTGGTCTGGGTTCTTCATTGGACTCTGATTATTGCCCACAGTCCCTTTCTTCATTCACAATAGATCAGGGAGCCAAGGGCCTGGGGGCCTGGGGCCCAAGTAGGGAGAGAACCACACCTGTCAGGTAAGGTCCTAGCAGTAGCTGAGCCCTGCGGGGATGAGGGAGGGAGTGCCACAGGGATCCTCTGGAACCAGCATGAGGCAAAGGGGAGCAGGAGAGGACAGGTTTTTTTAAGGATTGGGCCGCAGGTGTTCCTGAGAGTGGGATGAGAGGATCAGGATATAAAGGCACCGGCCCCTGGGGGACCAGAGGGGAGGGGAGGGGTGGCCTGAGTTACGCAGAAATCAATTTGCATATCTCAGTCCCAACCAGTACCAGCCAAGGGGAGATTGGGGGGGGGCAGAAATGGGGGACACAGAGCCCTGGCTTGGGGAGCTGAGTCTGGGGAACCTTGGGGGAGCTGGGGGGAAGGGGAATCTGACTTGGAACTATAGGGCCTACGAAGGTAGGCAGGGATGCCAGAGGGCAGAGGCCAGAATGAGATCTCTGACTCCTTAAGGACCCCAGACGACTAGGCTCAAAGGCAGACTCTGCCCTCTCCAGCCTATGTCTGACCCCACCCAGCCTAATGCCCACACCAGAGAGCAGTCAGCCTCAGGCCAACCCCTTTCCCAGTCACAGCTGCCCCACCACAGGCACTGGTGGGTCCTGCAGCTGCAACTAGGGTGGGCAAGACAGGTCCCAACTGCAGCCAGAGAGGCGCATTCAAGGAGGGGGTGAGGGAAGAGTTGGGGGCTGCCAGCACACCAGGGATGGCACTGGACTCCAGACCCTTTGCCTAGAAGATGCCAAGCACGTCAAGCTGGCCTCCGTGGCGAGGGCAGAGGTGCTTGAAGGAGTGGTGATGTCATGGTGCCCAGGCATGGGAGGGAAGAGGAGGGAGGGAGAGGGGACAAGGGCATGGCCCCAGGCTAGCGGCCTAACAGGACAGAGGGGAGGCTGCCAGCCTGGTGGGCGAGGGGACAGAGAGTGTCCTTACTGCTTCCCTATCTTCTATCCTCATACCCCAGAGCTGGCTTCTGAACTAAGCTACTGGCTTCTGAGAAGGTGAGCTGAGCAAGAGAACGCTCCTGCCATGGGCCATGTGCTGGAAGCTGGCGGCATCTTGGAGGAAGATGCCAGGGTAGGTGACCTGGGTCCAGACAGATGAGGGGAGGGCTCTCCACAGGCAATGCCCCTTCAGCCCTCACCTAGAGGACATTCAGAGAAGGGCGCAAGGTTCCAGAGAAGGAGACTGAATCACCCTCATATCCAAGTGCTGAGTGAGGGCAAGTCTGGCGCCCAGTGGGTCGTCCTCAATATCGACTAGGCTGAAAAGAATTGAGGGCGGGTGGGAGCAGATTCCTCAGGAGGCAGAGACAGGCTGAGGCTGCCCCTAGAGGGGAAGGAGCAAATGTGGGGCTGGGGCAAGAGTGGGCAAAGCCAGCACCCACTGGACTGCCTTCAGGAGCCTCACGGCTGCAGGCTCCTTCTGTGCAGGGTCTTAGAGCTGTTCCTTCCCCACAGCACCACCACCCCCAGGAGGCTGGCAGCAGGGAGCCTGGAGGCTCTGCATTTGGGAGCACGTCCTGGGCTGAGGAGTTACGCTTTTAGCATCAGAGAGAAGCCCAGAAACAGACCCTGATGCCAGAACTGGCAGACTGGGAGTGCTGGGACTGGGTGGAGCACCCCAGGTGGGAACAGGGATAGAGCCTGGGCAGGAGCTGCAGGGGACCTGCCTACAGGTGGGCACTGGGTGAGGAGGCATCGGGAGCCAAGGAGGAAATGGCAGAGCAATTTCCGAGGAAGACGGGAAGATTCTCTGGCTTTGGCTTAGAGGATACGAAGCAGACAGTGGGCTCCCAGGCCACTCCCCTGGCGGGCGAAGCAGAAGGCAAAGCAGTTCGGCCCTCTCCCCCAGGATGTGAGAGAGTTTGGGGTTGTTTGCTTCCCCCTCCCCAAACCTAGGAGAACATTCTCTTGGCACCCCCATTCTCAAGAGCCCCTGCTCTCTTTCCCTTCAGGCACCCCGTCTCCCCCATCAACGCCCCTGCGGTTCCCCACCCCCCAGAGCCTCCCTGCCCGGCTGCCGCACCAGATTCCCACTTGCCCCCTGGCACCCTCTCAATTCACAGTTGGCACTGCGATGCCACTCCGCTCCCCTGTGCCCACAATCTTGGCCAAGAGCTGCCGAGATCCTCACCCTGGGGTCCGCCAGAGCTGGCACCCCCGAGGCACCGGTGCTGGGAGCCGCGGGTGTCTCTGAGGGCACTGCCCGGCTCCCACAGGGGCAGCGGCTCCTCGCTCCGCCACACACGTTGTCCTTGGGCTGCTGGGGGGTGGGGGGGGGAGGTCCTTGTGGGGACACTGCGAAGCCCGTCCCGGACATCCAGCCTGGCAGTGTCCGGACTGCGGGGGACCGGGGTCCAAGCCGCTGCCGCTCAAGCCCGCGCCCCCGGGGCTGGGATGACCCCTGGGGGAGCTCGTGCGGCTCCGAGTGGACAGCAGCCCCAGGCTGGGGCTCCGAGACGGTGTCCGGCGCTGCCGCCGTCCTGCCCGCCGGTGCGGGGCGCCCCAGCCCGCCGGGGCCGCGCTTACCTGGGCTGGCCGCCTCCGGGTCCCGGTACATGGTCCCCTCGTCGCCGGTTCCCTCCGGGCTCCTCAGAGCCGCCCGCGGCCGCGCGCTGCTCCGCCGCCGCCGCTGGGCATGGGGCCGGGCGACCCCCGGGGGCGGGTCCGAGGGCGGGGGCCGCGCGGGCTGCACCGAGCCGCGGAGCCGGGGAGCGGGGGCCGCCCGCCAGCCCTCCCGCCCGCCCGCGGAGCACGTTGCCGCCGCCGCCGAGCCGCGCCGAGCCTCCTCCCTCCGGCCTGCGCGCCGCGTGTGCGCGCCGGAGCGTGTGTGTGTACGAGGCCGTGTGTATGTGTGTGTGTGAGCGCGTGTGTGAGCGCGCCCGGGGCACTGCCGGCGCCGCCCGCCCGCCGCCAAACGCCGCGACCACCGCCGCCGCCTGCGCCCGCTGCCGGCCGCGCGCCGCACTGCACCCGCGCCCGCCGCCGCCCGGAGCCGCCCCGAGGGCACGGCCGCCGCCCCGTGCTCCGCCCGCCCGCAGCCCCGGCGGGGAGGGCCGCCGAGCCCCACGGCCCGGCTTGTCCGGTCAGCGGGTCCGGCTCCGCAGCGCGACCCACCCCCGGCCCGTGCTTCCCCGATGGCCGCGTCCTGGCACCGGGCAGGGCCGCAGAGCCGGCCACCTCCTCCGAAGTGCCCTTTGGCTCCGATCCAAAAGGCGTAGAGATCCACTCCGGGATTTCCGCTTGCTGGCGGCTCGAGGGCGTCAGCTCCGAACTCAACACCGCGGCGGTCCGGGGCAGACGGGCTGGTATGTGCAAAAACCAGGAGTGGAATTTTTGGCAGCGCTGAGCCTGGGTCCACCAGTCCCGTGTTTCTCCAAGCTCGCACACAGGTGGAGCATAAAGGGCTAAGATCCCTGCCCTCGGTGGCAGGTTACGCCTAGTGACCCTCCTCACCTAACCCAGCCCCACGAAAGAAGAAAATAGGCTTTTCAGCCTCTGGTTATCCCTCTCCAGCAGCAGCTCCTCCTCTGATCCTCCCCTCTTTTCCTTGACCCTAGCAATTCGGAGGGTAGGAAGGAAATCCCTCCTTCCCCTTCCAACCCTGGACCTCTCTTGGTCCTCTCTGCCCCTCTGCCGGCTCAGTACAGTCTAAATCAGGTGAACACTAGTTCTCATTTCTCTACAGAATTGGGATGATTTGATTCTGGGGCAGGGAGGAGAAGAGACCTGTCTCCCAAGGATATGAAAAACCCGGAACTGAACCATTAGGGGTATCAGGCACAGAGACCTCCCTGCACGCACCTACACACCTAATCACCTACACACACACACACACACACACACACACACACACGCTGCCCCCTCCCCCCCACACAGACATGCTGCCCACACAAAGAGACACATACACTGACGCTCCCCGCAATACAGGTGCTGCCCCTACCCTTCACAGATGGGTTAGGTAAGAGGGTAAAATCCCTGGGTCTGTGGCAGCATCCTGCCCTCCCCTGTGCTGAGAATGCAGTTTGCAGGTGAGCTACGCTTCCCAGAGTCAAGGATTCTTATTTCCACCCTGAGAAATCCACTTCTGCTGGCTTTATACTGCACTACTCACGCCCTGCCACACCTCCACCTGCCCACAGTGCAGAAGGCAGCCAGGAACACCGCTCTATCTCAATTCTCCCCGACACACACACAAACAGACCCCATCCCCTTGAAATCACATGGAGTCTATCCCCAACCACCACCACCACACACACATACACACATACACATTCACCTCCACCTATAGCTCTTCCGGTTGAGAAAAAGATAAGGAAGTTCCCCAGCAAACCTCCATGAAGACTGTTCCAGTAGAGAGCAGATTTCCTGGGAATGAATGTTCTAAATAAAAGTGGAAGGAAAAAAGGCATCTGTAGGTTAAGGCCACCATTCCTCAGTGGCCAGAAATCTCAGCCCTCACCCTCTGGGGAAGGGCCATCCTATTTCATACACCTTGCAGCTGTCCTCCCCAGCTCACCCATGTGCAGCCAAGAACCCACGAGTTATCTACACTCTGCTTTGGGGCCTGGCAAACCCCAGAAAGCTAAGCCAACAGGCTGAGACTGCAGGGTCTGCAATCTTGGCTCATTCCCCCACCCGCCCCAGCTGCCTCTCTCATTGCCCTAGTAAAGAGTAAACAGGGGCTGGGTATGGTAGCTCACACCTGTAAGCCCAGCACTTTGGGATGCCGAGGCGGGAGATCACTTGAGCCCAGGAGTTGAAACCAGCCTGAGCAACATGGTGAGACCCCATATCCACCAAAAAATAATAATAAATAAATAAAGATTAGCCCAGTGTGGTGGTGCGCCCATGTGGTCCCAGCTACTTGGGAGGGTGAGACGGGAGGAGGATGGCTTAAACCCAGTAGTTTGAGGCTGCAGTGAGCCATGATTGCACCACTGCACTCCAACCTTGGCAACAGAGTGAGCCTGGTCTCGAAAGGAAAAGAGCAAATAGGGCACCCTCACCACCCCCCACCCCAGATGGGCACACAGACAGGTTCCCTGCTGAGGAATCTCCCCACTTCAGATCCCTTCACCCATCAATCTGAAAGTCCAGAGAGGGACAGCAGAATTCCTCATCACTGCCACTCAACAGGTCTTTACTAAGCATCTAAAGTTTTTCAGAGTTGACAGGACATCTGAGAGATGCCCCAGGCTGCCCCTTGCAAGTGTCAGGTGATGAAGGCAAAGCCTCTAGAGGAGAAGGAACTGACCCAGGGAGCTAAAGGCCCCGGAGCCAGCACCCTGGGGAGCTGGCGAGAGAACCTGGAGTAAGAATCACTCTTGGTTGAGACTCCCAGCCCTTTGCTAACCACTGTGGGATTCATGAGGAGATCCAGTGCTTGCTCCCATCTGAGGGCTTATAGCCTGTTTCTTACAAGAGTACGAAGTCCAGTCTCATCCTCTCCTCACAGGCATTGGACAGTCCTTGTTCCAGGATGTCAGAGCTGGACAGCTCCTCAGACACACAAGAGGAACGCCATGAAATATAGTTGTGCAAACTGAGGCTCTGGGGCATTGGGAATCTTGGGTGGTTTTTAAATTCCTGCCTGCAGCATTGACACAGAAAATACTTTGAAGACACCCCTTCTCTGGGTCTCAGTCACTTTGTTTAGGGGATGCAGAGTCATGGGAAAGAGGAAAGAATACAGATTTACGTGGCTCTGCCATCATTGCTGTGTTTACCCTGGGCAGACACCTCTGAGCCTCAGTTTCCTCATCTCTACAATGGGGTAATAATAACAACTATTACCTTTGGTTATTGTTACGTTTAAGCATGGTGAAAAAATCAAATCACTTAAAATGATACTTGGGAGACCGGACGCGGTGGCTCACACTTGTAATCCCAGCACTTTGGGAGGCCGAAGCGGGCGGATCACAAGGCCAGGAGTTCGAGACCAGCCTGACCAACATGGTGAAATCCCGTCTCTATTAAAAAAAAAAAGAAAAGAAAAAAAAATTAGCCGGGCAGAGGTTGCAGTGAGCTGAGATCGCACCACTGCACTCCAGCCTGGGTGACAGAATGAGATTCCTTCTCAAAAAAAAAGAAAAAAAAAAAAAGAAAGAAAAAAAAAGATACTTGGAACATATAATTTATTCTGTATACTTTTTGAATGCCATTATTATTGTTGTTGTTGCTATTTGTTTATCCTTAACAGAGACACCACATACGCCCCATTCCCATGTGTTGCCTGTCAGAAAAGTTCTTCCAGATGTCTAACTGTGAACCATTCTGCTGCATTAGAAGGCTACTCTCTCCTGCCGGAATATCGATGAGAGCCGAGCCAACTGGGAGTTTCTAGGAGCTGCTGGGCTCCTTGACCCTGCCAGCCCGAGTGCCAGAATCCAATCCCAATTCTGTCTTCTAAGTACTCACAGAGAACTGGGTAGAGGCAGTAAATGGAGCCTGCAAGAGTGAGCAGGTCCTCTGAGGAAAAAGATCAGAGGCTGTAAATCACCCCTGCCCTGCCCTTGGGTCTTGTCTCTCACTGGGGAGGGCCCGAGCCTCTGGACGTTCAGCTTCTCCCCTTCCAGTCCACAGAGAAGGGGGGCCCAAAGAGCCCCTCTCATTCTGTTTGGTTGCTGGTCCCCTGTCCTGGGTTCCATGACATGGCAGGAAATGCGGGCAGCACCTGGTTCCCCAAGGACTGCCGTGCTGTGTGCTGCAGACCCTTCAGGCCTGTTTCTGATCTGGCACCATCCTCAGGGCCAGGAGTCCTGGGTCGGCTTCAAGGAGGGACATTCTGTCCCTCAGGAGCAGATGCTGGGCCTGCACTCTCCCAAACAGGGCCCCTGAGGCTGCCTGGCTCTGTTGCTAGGCCACGGCTAGGAGGCAGGGCTCCTGAGTTCCCCTCTGGCCTCTACCTGGCGCGGTCTTCATGTTGCTGTCTCCCCACAGTCCTTTCCCCCATCCCCACCCCCTTGGCTATGGGCTGAATTATTAATAAAAATGCTGAGGAAGCTGTTTGTGCAGCTCACGTGACAGAACAAACACACCTCTCTCCTTGCCATCGTCCACGTGGCAAGAGACCCAGGCTGAACATTCGCCTGATTCAGGAGAGACAGGCTGAGACTAGCTGGAAGGTGGCTGTGCAGGGCAACAGCACAGCCCACTGATGGTGACAGGCCAGGAGAGTGAGGATTTGTTCTGTCATCGTGTCCCTGCTCCTACCCCCTAGTCTTTCCCTTCCTCCTCTGCAGACGACGAGTCTGGGGAAGACAAAAGTATAAAGTTAACAGATGTCTCCACCCCAGAAAGGACATGACAGCAAACTCCTAGGAGGCAGCTGCAGCCATCTCTATACCCACCTCATCACCATCAATACAAAATTGCCTCCTCTCGAAAGACCCAGTAACTACCAGATCTCAGAGGCCCACCCAGAGTCTATGCTTGTCACACTTCTGCCGGGTTCTGCTTTGGGGGCCTGGTACTAAAAGGCAGGGTTTGGACCCCAGCATCAAGGGAAGAATCTGATACTCGAACTCAGGTCCTGCCTCTGCCTGTTTCTCTGTTTGGCTTTGGCTTGTTACTTGACATCTCTGGGCCTCAGTTTTCTTATCTGTAAAATAAGGCTAAGAACTGCTCCACACAAAGATGTGAGAATACCCTGGGGAGATGGCAAGGTCTAGATCTTTCCTGGTTCCCTAGGGGTAACCCCAGGCACCAAAGACCCTGCTCCAAGCTGACCTACCATAGCTATAGGCCCCCAAGGGTCTCTCAGGCCACGTTACAGGGCCAGAAACCTTATTCCTACCCCACCCTCACCCCATCTGTCTTCCCACACCCCTTCACCCTGTAACCTCCTCTTTATCCAGATTCTGGCTCTCAGTCTCTCTCTTCTCCATGGTCATCCTGACACTCCCCAAGTGCTTGGCTCAGCCCCTCAAATCCCTCACCACCCTCAAAAGATTAAAGTTGGTATCCCTTCTTCTGGCTTGGGACAGCCCCAGCCTTGGTCAGAAGTTTGGCCTTGGGACTCTGCTCTGAGACATTCCTTATCCCTTGGGCAGCTCAGGCACCCCTGAGACTGACTGAGGGCCATGGGGGCTAGCAAGACCCCCTTCCTGGGATGCACTGTGGAAGCACCTCGGTTTGCTGATTACCAGGTGAGTGACCCGGAGTCAGCCCCTCAGTCCTTCTGAGCCTCATTTTACCAGTCTGTACCATAAGGATGTTGTTTGTTAATCTTGACTGGGTCTTAGACCCCTGTGAAAAGCTAATGAAGCCGGTGGACCTCTCCTCCCTAGAAAAGTGCATATACAAACAGAGACACAACATTTTGCCCATCATTGGGTGTGTGTTGGGGTGGGAGTCCTTTGGGTTCCAGATGAAAACCCCTGGCCCAGAAGCCTGCAAGACTGCTTCCAGCTCTGTCAGTCTGAACCCAGTTCTCTGCCCTCCCCATCCTCTCCGCAGTGACTTCTGGGTGTGGGGGAAGAGGGGACAGTTAGGGAGGTAGGCTGCTGCTCTATCCACACCTTTTCTCCCTCCTGCCTCAGTGGGCCCATCCCCCAGCATGTCCTGTGGCTGGTGCCAGCTTGTCTGCAGCTCAGACCAGCGTTTCAGTCCCTGTTGGAACCCACTGAACTGGCTTCACCTGCCTTTCAAGGTATTTAAAGGTTCTTTGACCAAATGCTTTTTGATCCTTCGCTGATGGGAACCAAGCAGAAGCTCTTTGGCCAACTGTCCCCCCTCCCCCCATATGATTAGTCTCTAAGAGCTCTTTTGATATTGCAGAAACCTTCTGTGGTTTGTTCAAAGCCCTGGGCCTTGCAGCCACCTCCCCTGGGCACCCAGGCCAGTCAGCTCCAGCCTCCACCGCCCATCCCCAGGGGTGGCCTAGTTAATGGGGGCCTCCTAGCGCTGAACAACTCTGGCCTGAGTTTGAACCCCAGACCCGAGCCCAGCTGGTAGAGGGGTCAAGCCCCCCTCTTCTGAGGGAGCCCAGGCCAGGTCTGGTAGTGTGGGATGGGGACCTGTTCCCCAGGCTTCAGCGGGCCATGACTCTTCTTGCCGCCCTGCTGAGGTTGCACAGACAGGCATGCAGGCCCACGATGATAGCAATTGACCTGTTTCCAGGTCTGAGGCTGAGGTTGAGAAGGGGAAACTGAGGCTCTGAGAAGTCCAGGGTTCAGGCCTCGGTGTGTGAGGGGGCAGGAGCCAGAATCCGCCAACCCAAGACCTGCTCCAGCAGCCCCCATCCCAGCCAGCACCACTCGCCGCCCGCGCTCCTGGTCCTCCAGGGCCGCGCAGAAGGCGCGCCTGGGCTGAGTCCCAGCTGCAGAATTCTTGGGGGGCGGGGGACGAGGCGTCTCCGCTCTTAATAGCTGAGCGCCCGCAAACGCCCGGCCTGGGCTCGAGGCCGGCGCCTCCAGCGACTGGCGCCCCCAGCATAGAAATCTTTCTCCGCAACTTGGACTGACCCACCCAGAGCGCCCCGAGTATCCGGCCCGGGGCGGGGATGCGCGTGCGCGGAGGGGGTGCCGCGGAGCCCGCGTGAGCAGACAAATTACCGCGGACCTGAGAGGACGCGTCCGCGCCAGCCCGGAAGGAGGAGGGGGCCGGTACACAGACGGGGGGCGGGGGAGATGACTCTCTCTGAGGGATCCCCAGCCCCAGGATTGAGGCCCCACCCTCTGCCCTAGCTGGAGTTGAAGACCGTAGTGGGGGTGGGGGCCTATCCCTCGCAGGTGGAAGGGTGATCTGCGCCGGGAGAGCTGGGACTGTCCCAGTTCAGCCATCCCTGGCTCTGGGCTGAGGAGGATGACAGGAGAGGCCCCAGCACTCCGAGACTGGGCGAGTTCAGGTGGCCAGGCCCCCTCCCTCACCAAGGCCTCCGGGAGCTGCTGGGCTCCTTGGCCCTGCCGGCCTGAGTGCCAGAATCCAATCCTGCTCAATAATAATCGTCAGAGCAGCCGGCAGCACTTACTGAGCTCTGAGGGACTGCCAGGCCCGGGTGCCAAGTGCATAACACGCATTATCCCATTTAATAGTCACGGAAGTCCCGTTGTGATCCTCTTAGGAAGGTGAGGGGGCTGAGGAGGCGAGGGGCGTGGCTTGCCTGGGGCGTGGCTTGCCTGAGGTCGGGCGGCCGGCGGGGTGGAGGGACAGGTGGGAGTCACACCAGCTCCAACCAGGTCTAGAGCCCAAACCTTCAATGCCTGGGCTTTCCTGCCTTCGACTCCTCAGAGCTCTCCTGGAGGCTGAGCAGGCAACAGAGCCTGCTCCTCAGCTGGGTGTGGCCCGTGGGAGGTGAGGGGGCGCAGAGGCCGGGCACCCTGGAAAGGAGGAAGAATGGGGGACCCCCATCTTCCTGGCTGCTTCATTTCCCGCTCTCTTCCTGCTCCCACCCCTCCCAACGGTGGGCGTCCCCCAAGGCTCCGTCCTCTCTTCCCTTTTCTTTTTCACCCACTCTCTTCGTGACCTCATCCACTCCCACGGCCTCAGCTTTTGCTTCATCCCCATTCCCAGCACTGTCTCTGGGGCCCTGACCTCCCTCCCAAGCTCCGCAGCTGTGTACTTAGTGAAGCCTCTCCACCAGGTGGAGGAAACTCATTACCTCCCTGGAGTTACCCCACAGCTGCTAAGGCCCCATCACTCTCTCAAGCCCCACATCGGTTCCCCAAATCCTCCAGCTGCTCTTCCCCCACACCTAATTAGTGTCCATATCCTTCAGACCCTTTTCTCTGCCCAGCCTCTCACACCCTCTTCTCAGACTCCTGAGCCACCTCCCTAAGTCAGACACTCAAGCCGCTCACCCTCCACCTCACCTGGCTCCTGCCCAGTCACTTGCCTCCCCCAGTCTTTTCCATCCATGCCCTCCCTCCCCGTGGTTTTCTTTTTCCTTTCCTTTTCTTTCTTTTCTTCTTTCTTTCTTCTTCCTTTCTTCTTCTTTCTTCCTTCCTTCCTTCTTTCCTTCCTTCCTTCCTTCCTTCCTTCTTTCTTCTTTCTTTCTTTCTTTCTTTCTTTCTTTCTTTCTTTCTTTCTTTCTTTCTTTCAGACAGAGTCTTGCTCTGTAACTCAGGCTGGAGTGCAGTGGCATGATCTTGGCTCACTGCAACCTCCGCCTCCCAGGCTCAAGACATTCTCATGCCTCAGCCTCCTGAGTAGCTGCGATTACAGCCACCTGCAATCATGCCTGGCTGATTTTTGTGTTTTTAGTAGAGATAGGGTTTTGCCATCTTGGTCAGGCTGGTGTTGAACTCCTGGCCTCAAATGATCCGCCCACCTCCCAAAGTGTTGGGATTACAAGCATAAACCACCGCGCCCGGCCTCTCTGTGGTTTTCTGAGACACAAGATCCAATTGCGCTACTGTCTTCTCAGCCCCTGGACCTTCGATGGCTCCCCGCGCCTGTGGAAAGGAGCAGCTTAGCCTGAGACAGAGTCTGCCCCAGTATGACTTTTGACCTCCTCGTCTTGCCCAGTGCCCTGCCTTCAGCTAAAAACTGAGTTCCTCCCTATGGGTTTCCACCTTTCAAAGCCCGTCTTCACTGTCACTTTGTCCAGGGAGCCATCCCTGATTCTCCCAGGTGAGTTTGAACTCCCCTCTTCTGTAGCCCCATGGCACTTCTCAGCATTTCGGTGATGGAATTGTCCAAGTTGATAGCATTTATACAGCTCTTCAATCCCGCTTTCTGCCCACCTGCTCCACCCCTGCAACGGACGGGGAGCTCTTTCAGGGCAAGGATCGCCCATTACTATCCACCCTCATCTTCCTCCTTTCACATTTTTTATTGATCCATTCAGCAAATATTAATGACGTAGCTGCTATGTGCTAGGCACTGCATATACAGAATCCTGCTCTTTCTCTGAGTAATCGTCATACAGTGCGACAAGTGCATTAACAGGTGGATTCAGGGAAACATGGCCCTGGTCAAGGATTTCTCCAGGTTCCCGAATGCCAGGCCCTGGCCTGAGCACTATGGGGGTGTGCAAGCTTGAACGAGACCAAGCCCTGCCCTCCAAGATGGTAGCTGTATGGAGACAATAGGATGTATACAAATGCAGGTCTGAACACAGTGCTTTGGGACTACAGAAAGCAGAGCAATGACCTTGGCCCTGGGGAAATCCTGAAGCTTCCCAAATGCCCAGCACCTTGCACCAAGCAGTAGCCTCGTAAATCTTTGTTGAATTAAATTGGTTATGGGAAGAAAGGGGACATAATAGAGACTGAAAAAGAAAATTAAGGTTATTGGGGGCAGGCGGCGGGGGATGACAGAGCATTTTCACATCTGCATGAAGTCGCCTTGTCACCCATCCCAGAGGGATGTCTTGTGGACAAATGAGATCATGGACGTGCAGTGCTCTGAACGCCTGGGAAGAAAATAACTATACAAATACCGGGGCTATTATTAGTCTATCCCTATCAGACCAGATAAGTCCTCTCCTTGTGGCCTCAGTTCCCTCCTGGTAATATCAACTATGCCCTGTGGCAATTTGCTTCTCTCTGTCTCTGGGCCTCAGTTTCCCCATCTGCAACATGAGGACATACCATGAGATGATTCTGAGGGTCTCTGGCTCCTCCAGGGAGATGCTCCAGGGATAGCTGTGTCTGACTAGGGGATGCCTTTTGTCTTCTCTTGACTGCCACACCCTGGGCTGAGTTGGGGAGTCCTCATAAAATGTCACAAAGGCCACTCCCTGTGCTGTTTGTCTTTCTGGTCAAACAAGGCTACGCAGAACATGAGGCAAGTATGGGCTTCTCGGCCGGAAGTTCCTCTCTAATTTCTGGGGAACAGCCTTAAGGCCTGTTTTCTGAAAAAGACCTCTGTGTGAGCCCCTTCCCTCCACTCCAGGTCTGAGGTCTGTGTTCCCCTGGGGAAGGCCCATCCCTCTCCAAATCCCCATTGACCTCTCTCTTTATGGCCAGAAGTGTTGGGGTGCCAGATGCTTCAGTGAAAGGGGATGGAAGCTGTAGTGAGAGAGAAGAGAAGCTTCTCGCACAGGAGAGAAGCTCCCCCATGACCTGTCCTTAGCTAAGGCACCACCACAACCCTGACCCTACAAAGCAGAGACCTTGGCCATGTCCCTACTTTCCCTCTTTTCCTTACCTGGAAACATTTTGTTGGTAGTGAGTCCTGGTCTTTTTCCTTCCTGGCTCCAGTCCTTCGCAGCCTCCCCTGCCCCTCATTCATGGCCCTAGCCCCAGTCCTTCCATCTTGCATCGACTTCCTCCCTAGGTCTCCTCCTCTGCCTCCAGCCTGGCTCCCTTCCTGTCCACTATCCTAAGGGCAGCAAAGCGCAAGTGTGACCAGGTTGCTCTTCAGCTCAAAGCCCTTCCATGGATCCATAATTGCTCTTAGGAAAAAGCTCAGATTCCCTGTCTGGCAGGCAGGGCCCTTCCTGACCTAACCAGAGAGGCGAAGTCATCTTTGAGAGAGTTCTGCGGCTGAGAAAGAACTCACTAAGGGATGGGGGCGTGGAGGGCATTTCAGGGACAGGGAAATGTGGTTTCAAAGGTGGGGAGATATGATGGAACCTGGGGTGGGAAACATCAGAAAGCAGATATGGCAGGAGGCTGCAGTGAGTGTCCAGGGTGTATCAGGCACACCTAGTGTGTGCCAGGCTCTGTCGTCATGCTGAAGATGCAACAGTGACCAAAACAAAGATCCCTGCCCTCAGGAGCTGGCATTTAGCAGAGGGAGATAGCAATCAGCAATGAGCAAAAGAAGGAAATGTTATAGTGTGTTAGAAGGTGGTGAGTGTTTGGGAAAAGAAAAGGTGGAGAGAAGTGAGGGTTATCTGGGGGTGGATTGCAATGTTGAGACAGGGTAATGAGGGCAGGCTTCATTGAGAAGGTGGCATCTGAGCAAAGACTTGAAGGAGGAGAGGGATTTAGCCCTGCAGTTATCTGGGTAACAGTGTACCAGGGAGAGGGAACAGCCAGTGCAAACGCTGTAGGGTGGGATAATACCTGGTTTGTTGGAGGAAACCAAGGGGGCTTGTGGAGCTGGAGCGGAGGGAGGAAGTGGTCAGGAGAGTGTAGGGGGAGAGTGTTGGGGGAGAGGGGAGGACAGGTCACTATGAGAACTTAGGGAGATGGGAAGCAACTGGAGTGTCTTTTGTAAGAGGAAGGACATGAGCTGGCGTATATTGTAAAAAGATCACTCTGGGTGTGTGTGTAGGGAGCGGGGGCAGCTGCAGGGAGACCAGTCAGGAGACTGCTGCACTAATCCAGGCAAGACATGATGGTGGTTCGAATCAGGGTGGGTGCTGTGGGGGTGGTTGGGAGGGCTTGGATTCTGGATCTATTTTGAAGGCAGAACCAACTGGATTTCTTCATGGATTGGACGTGGGTTGTTTCAAAAAGGGAGGAGCCGAGATCATCGCCTCCAAGGCTTTGGCCTGAGCCATGGAAGGCTTGGATTGCCATTGGCTGAAATGGGGTTTGTGTTGGAGCAGTGCCTTTTCTCAATCAATTTTTCACTATCACCCACCCTCAGGAGCCTTTGAAGACATTTTTCTCTAATCACTTCCCCGCACAACAGATTTTTTTTTTTTCCTGATGGAGTCTTGTTCTATAGCCCAGGCTGCAGTGCAGTGGCATGATATGGGCTATGGGCTCACTGCAATCTCTGTCTACTGATTTCAAGCGATTCTCCTGCCTCGGCCTCCCAAGTAGCTGGGATTACAGGTGCGCACCACCATGCCTGGCTAATTTTTGTATTTTTAGTAGAGACAGGGTTTCATTATGTTACCCAGGCTGGTTTTGAACTCCTGACTTCAGGTGATCCACCTACCTCAGCCTCCCAAAGTGCTGGGTTTATAGGCGTGAGCCGTCGCGCCCGGCCCACAATGGAATTTTAACACCACAGCTATGACGTATACATGTTCATGTACTTTGGCCCTTTGGAAAATTACAAACCATTGTAATATCAATATTTTTCTGTCCCCCCAAGAACCAATTTTTGCCCACTGGGGAAGGTGGCATCCCTGTGAAGAAGGCATGTGTCAGAGCGAGTTGTGTAACGGAGAACAGGTGCTCAGCTTGGCATGCGTTGGACCTGAGCTATCTAGTGCAGGGAGGGGATGCTGAGTGGACAGTGGAACATTTGAGGTCCAGGCTAGAGGTATGGATGTGAAAGTCATTGGTGTATATATGCTGTTGCCATGAGACTGGGTGAGCTCACCAGAGGAATGAGGAATGAGATCAGAACCAAAGTCTGGGCTTGAGGCACCCCATATTGGGCTGTCTGGAAGAAGAGAAAAAAGCAGCAAAGGAGATGGAGAGGGAAAGGTGAGAGAAGTAACAGAAAACCAAGTGAGTACAGCAGGTGACCTAGGAGCCCAGTGGAAAGAGTGTTTCAGGGAAGAGGGAGGGCTATGCTGCCAAATGCCATGGGGTCAGGGGCAAGTGGCAGAAAGACTGAGAACTGACAGTTGAGTTTAGCCATGGAGAAGCTCCTTCTTGGTAGGAGCATTTTATTTATTTATTTATTTTTGAGATGGGGTCTCACTCTGTCACCCAGGCTGGAGGGCAGTGGTATGGTCCTAGCTCACTGCAGTCTTAACGTCCTGGGTTTGAGCGATCATCCCACCTCCCGCCTCAGCCTCCTGAGTAGCTGGGATTACAGATGTGCGCCGCCATGCCTGGCTAATTCTTATTTATTTATTTATTTTTTCTTTGAGACAGAGTCTCACTCTGTCGCCCAGGCTGGAGTGCAATGGCGTGATCTGGGCTCACTGCAACCTCCGCCTTCCAGGTTCAAGCGATTCTCCTGCCTCAGCCTCCCAAGTAGCTGGGATTACAGGCGCCCACCACCATGCCCAGCTAATTTTTTGTATTTTTAGTAGAGATGGGGTTTCATCGTGTTAGCCAGGATGGTCTTGATCTCCTGACCTCATGATCTGCCCTCCTCGGCCTCATGAAGTGCTGGGATTACAGGCATGAGCCACCACACCCAGCCTTAAAATTTTTTTGTAGAGACAGGGTCTTGCTGTGTTGCCCAGGCTGGTCTCAGACTCCAGGTTTCCAATCCTCCTGCGTCGGCCTCCCAAATCGTTGGGCTTACAGGTATCAGCCAGCATGCAAGGCCCATAGGAGTATTTTTGATAGAGTGGTGGGGATGAAAGCCAGATTGGAGTGGGTTTAAGAAAGAACAGGAGGAGAAGAACCGCTGATAGTGGATAAAGACAACCCTGGGAGGAGTTTTGTTGCAGAGGGGAACAAGGAATTGGGTGGCAGCCACAGGGGAAGCAGGATCAAGAGCAGGTATGTGTAAGATGGGAGGAAAAACAGCCACTGACGGGAATGGTTTGGTGAACTGAGACGGGATGACTTGCTGATCAGAGGGACTGGGCTCTGGTGCCTGCCTGGGTGGTGGGTGAGGGCAGGCGTGGACAGTCATCTCTCCTAGGACTCGGGGAGGCAATGTGTGGGTGCAGAGGCTGGTGGGGGCGGATGTGCCCGTGCAAATCTGGAAGTACTTCTGAGAGACTGGATTGTCTTCAGGGAGTGAGAAAAACAAGGTCAACAGCTGAGAGTGAGGACGGGGGAGGGTGGGGTGGGGTTTGAGGAGAGGAGATCGTG